TTACCCACGTTTATCATGAGGTAAAATTTGGAGACAGTAGCCAACAAATGGATGGGAAATTGACGTGCAAATTTTGAAAAATTTTTGGGGTTCATCAAAGAGAACGCGGCAAGGTGTTCAGTGCGCAGACGATCGCCTATTTGATTCACCAGAATGTCACAGCATTCCTTTGCAGACAAAATCAAACGCTGCGTTGTTTGCCCGCGGCGTAAAGAAGCACTCCATGTGTCGTCGTTAGGCTTGCACGTAATTTACGGATTTACGGAATTACGGAATTATTTCGAGTTACGGAAGCGAAGTTACGAATTACGTCAATTCGTAATTATTGGTGGAGCGCTTTCGCGATTGAAACGAGCTCTCTTCAGAGCAGTCAATTCCGTCGATTGTAAAAAATTAAAGTTTAATAAGTGGAAGAAGTTAGAGTTCCGGTATTCGCTGCCGTTTTTCTCTCTCTTGTTACGCAGATGGAGAAGGCATAACGCGTTGCCATTTACTAACCTATTTTCAACTTATCTAGCATGGCAAATGTACATATTAAGCGTAGATATGGGATAGAATTGTGTTGAGACCGATGGACGCCAACACACCTGGTTTCAACTTCTTCGGGTGAAATGACTGAAGAATGTAAGAGATCAACTTACCAAACATGGTCTATTTGTAAATGCCGTGATAATTAATGTCGCGCTTATCAAACAGCAATATGACGACGGAAGAGAAATTGCGTAATGAACCAACGCAACTTAGTCTTTTCGGCATCGGTAAAGCGATTCAGACGGCAGAGAAACAACAAAAAGACGGGATTTCCCATGTTTATTCTGCGCGAGATCCATTTTCTATTACAAAATCTTGATGTTCTGTTACCGGTTTTATCGTTATATATCTGTCCGGACTTGGCCATGTTTTCACAATGCCTCGCAATATTTCGGCCAAATATGTCTTTACAAAATCTCTAAGTCTTTACCAAATGCGGCAACTTATTTTGATTTATCGTCGACTCAAATACCACCGGCACTCGACCAAACTTGTGTCAATCTTAGCCGAAAGGATTGTCGACCTGAGTTAGAAAAGTAAATTAATATTTTCGTGAGTGCAAAATAAATGTCACAAAATGCATTGTTTTGCGATATAACTTTGTATTTTCGGAGAAGGCATGTCATATAAGTACGGTATTTAAATTCTGCGCAAATAATTAATATTTGATCTGAATTTATCGCAAATAATGTTGTTATAACATTTAGGCCGCGAAATGATTTAATGTAAAATGCAGCATGGTAATCGGAATATCGTCAATAAGTCGGCATCAATAATTATTATAAAATGCTAACTAGGTAGTAAAGTCGGATAATGTAAAAAAACGGTACAATAACAAGTCTATGTCGCGAGGCAAGCGCAAGTATAATCAAACGAGAGAATACGCTCGTCGTTGATTTATAAATTAGAAACCCGCAATTTTTATTTAATACGAAACTCGTATTAATACGTTAATACGATTTTAAAAAAGTCAACTATCGTTTGATAAATATATTACCACTTACCAGTGTTGGTAATGATGAAATTGATCGCATAAATTGGTTGATAAGGTTGATAAAGGAAAATCAAAGCTAACACAAAAGATAAAAATCAGAATAAAATAATTTGAATTCACTCCTTGATATTTGTCTTTAGCACCTGTCGCCGGCGTGTAGTACTGGCGGAAATATGAAAACCAAACTGTCCCAACTGTCGATGTCCCATTCGGAATAGAAGTGGATTAAATTGGTTGTTATGATAGGTTTAAAAGTGTGAAAATAAATATCGCAATTACGGGGTCATTACGTAATCGATTTGTCCGTAATTACGGAATTGATTTTTGTCAATTACGTGCAAGCCTAGTCGTCGTATTTTATTGTTTCCCGGATACGAGATACAGCACCGCAGAAGTCTGAAATACACGACTGCACAGACGCTCCATCCATTAGCCTTGACTGCAATGCGCCGTATAATACATCCACGTGATAGAATATTGTGGAGAAAAGAGCGAGAAAAAATGAAAACTCACCATCTTCTAGCAGACGCTTCAGACCTGCCGCCTCCCTCACAGCGCGTTCGTCCCAAACCGGAGAGCTCTTAATGCCATTGAAACACTCAATGAGCTCAGACCTAATGTCGGACACGCCCTGCACCACGCGTGATTGGAAGTTCCAAAGTGTTGGTGCACAAGCTGGGAGACGGTGGCTACATACCTGGCGAAGGAGGTCAGAGCGCTTCGGCGAAACGGAAAAAAATGAAGAAAACCCCGAAACATTTGCAAAAAATATACGGACGGGAGGGGTATCAAGACACATATTTTTAATATCGAGGTTAAATTGGTGTGTATAACAATGTCAAAAATGCGCATGAGGAAAATCTTCTTTTATATAAACTTGAACACCATATGTTTCGACCCACCCACGCGCCGTCATAAGTTTGAGCTATCAATTTTGACTTCGCGTTGTAAGGCTGTGACACTTCTTTCAGTACAGCCGATATCCCGCAAGCCGTGCGATCAACAATTGGTACAAAGCTGTGAAATCTCTCGGTGTTTACCATCTTTCACAAACCGAAAAATCACAGCCAGTTGGGAAACGCACGTGATGTCAGTTGTCTCGTCAGACTGAATCGAAAAGAACTGGCAATTCTCAATTTCCAGAGCCAAATGTTGTAAATAAATTTTATACATTGAGTCGAGCAAATCATTTTGGATATCCTTAGATGTCCCTTTCGAAACAGTTGCGGCATCAAGATGATCTCTCAATACTGTATCTAGGAATGCGGTGTATTCCACCATATCCAAAAATACCCCTCTATTAGAAGAGCCAGCCCGTTCATCGTGCCCACGGAGGGACAGCTCGTGACAACCAATGAACTTCAAAACATCTATCAATCGACCGAGGCGGTTTTTCTCGACGTTTTGGTTGTGCCTACGAATAGAAACCGCGCGTCCTTCATCCAACTGTGCTGCAATATTAACATTTCCGAATGTTCGGTATTTTACTGCATTGTCCAGATGCTCCATAGAAGATTGATGATCCCTGGCACGCTCGGAAAGATGTTTAAGATCTCTAAAACCAAATTTACACCAACGTGAGTCACGGGCGGTAGCAAAAAGTAGGCAATAAAAACAAAAAAGTGCATTTTTGTCCTCGCTGTAACACAACCATTCGTGTTTTTTATACCAAGTTTCTGCGCAGAATGTACGCCGACGCTTTCCTCCGTCATGGGATTGTTCCAGTGAACAATTTTTTGGTTGATAAATCCCCAAGACGTTGTACCTCTAATTTTTGCAGCTGCGAAAACGGAGTGCGAAGTAGTGCATCAACCTTATTCATTATGAGGTCTAAGGCTAAGAAATGCGAAGCCGGAAAGAAGTGAGGAGCTCAAAAGGAATGTGGAAAATCGAAAGCAAATGGACTAAAGGTCTCTAACTGATTCAAATAGAGAAACAAGCGACAAAAACGAAGGCGAGGAAACTATCAACTCTTCAAGCAACCAACGAACGAGAAGGAATGCGTGAATATGTCAACACGTTGTTGTAAGAAACGTCGGCATTGTGTCGTCATAATTTCGGGGATAGCCCCAATCGGCCCCGATGATTTAGTAAAAGAAACAGAAAACAAACGAGACAAACGTGGCGAGTGGAAGATAAAAGAGAGAATACGATATACAATGAGCAACCGGGGCAAAATCGGCGTCGCCCCGTCGACGTTCGGCGAAGGCTTTGCGAGCGAAAAATGAACCATGTCGGGAGAATATGGCTATTGTAGACAGTCTGTGCAACCGATATTGAGGTATTCTTCGAATATGTTTCATTATACCAAAAAAACAACCGGGGCATTGCCCCGGTTGGCCCTATTGACGCGCCGCCATTGCAAATATATATGTCGGCGTATCAACGTTCGGTGCTCTGGATTGAAGCCGATTTCCTCGCTGTTTAGTGCATATCGTCCTCATTCCAGGCCGTACAGTGAGTTAAATCACATGGCCATTGGTCACAGATCAGAAATCAATTAGAAGATAGCAATTTTCCCGGTTTGTCGGTGTTTCTCTCAAGCTAGAGAATACAGTTCTATCTCATTGTTTTGACGTGATTGGTTATACATTTACTACCGATTCAGAATGATCAGCAAAACGCTGCAATTTCGGATAGGATAGGAGTTCAGATAGGATAGTATTTACATATTTAACCCGGGAAAGAGAAAACCCGATAAGACGGCTTAATGCGTACCATGGTCTCTAGCCCGGTTACCAGTTCATGTGGAGATGAAAGAAGCTGTAGAGCGCTGCATATGGTTTTATTTACCTTCTTTAAATCTCAAATTTTCCTCGAAGTATGCTTTGTTTTTGTTTAGTTAACTCCAAGAAAGATCAAGCTTACTTGGCTCGGTGGTGTGTTGCATCGTGCTAAGCGTTAGAAATACGCTCGCCACCGCATCTCTGATTACCCTTCGTGGGATCGCAGGTTCGAATCCCGGGGATGATCATGTGCGTGAGGATTGCTGGACTCCTCGCCGCCGTAGGGTGGTTCACGTAGTCGTAACCGTTGGTCGGTTACGGCTTCCTCCACAATCAAGTGCTTCCGAAAACAAATAACTGGATAACTAATCCCATACCCGACCTGAGCTGGTAACCGGACGAGAGGCCGTGGTTCGCCATATGATTAAGCCGTCTTAACGGCTTTCCTCTCCCCGGGATATATATGTAAATGCTATCCCATCTTTTCCTATACGGGTGACAACTGAATTACTAGAGACTTGAATCGTGAAAAACTGAAGAGGCGAATTATGCACAAGGATCAAAAAAATTGAAGCAGTTACATCATATATCTGCAAAATTTTAAATTGCGTTTCCTTTACGTATATTCGGATTCACAAAAGGGATATTCCGTCATTTCGATAGCGATATATTGCTGCAAAAAATCTGATATCCGGACATTTTTAAACGATTGTATTAGACTCTAATCACCACTCATTATAAACTCACTCTCATGTGACGTTTCTGCTGTTTGGTCATCTGTCGCAGTTTATGGCTCAATATTATTTAAATACCGGTATCTAGTTCTGGATATTATTATATCTGCATAAACTAAGAGAAGGAGTTCTAATGTTTCGTTCTAAAAAGAAATTAGCTCCCAAAGCTGGAGATGGGGGCGCAGAACCGAGGAGAAATCGAGCGCCGGTAAGTTTTGTTATTACTGTATTACAGTCCGAGAGTTTTCATGTTTTGAAAATCCTTAATTTCGCCATGGAAAAATAACTCTTTTTGGACATTTTTAATAAATCATTGGTAAGGTATATGATTTTCTATATTCAAGTCCAATTCAAATTGGAGTCATTTATGGCCTAGATTCTGAGATTGCAGGATTGAATTGAAAATTAGGCTCCATGAGTTCTGGCTCCACGTTACCGGTAACTGGTTAAATAATCCCATACCCGACATACTGACATAAAATGTAATAATCTAACTTCTGAAATTATTCGAGAAATTGATAATTCCATCATTTCTATGTATCGAATATTACCAATTTCAAACATATTAAATTATTGGATTCAATTTTGTGGTCTAGCGCAAAACGAAAATTTAATGTCAGAATGTGAAACTACAGCCTAAATTTTAAATATAAGTTTGTCTTGTGCTGAACACTATCGAATCCCATGCAGGGATAGGTATGTGCGAGAGGATTGCTTGACTCCTCGTCGTCAAAGGATGGTTCACGTAACGTTCGATGGTTCGGGTTCCTCCGCCATCATGTCCATGCTCCCAAAAACAAATAACTGGCTAACCAATCCCATACCCGACATGGACTGGTAATCGGATGAGAGGCCTTGGTTCGCCACATGGTTAAACCATCTTATTGGCTTTCCTCTCCGTCGGAATAAATATGTAAATCCTATCCTAACTAAATGCATCTGTCTAGAATTTTATTCCGCGCAAGACATGCTTATTTTTGAAAAAAAATGAAAATCATATGCCAAATTTTTGTTTGACGTCATTTTAATAAGGAGTTATGTGTCCCCAATTATTGACATTTCCACTAAAAATTTGATTTATTTTTAGATGGGAATGTTTGCAGTTTACGGCGATGAAGATATGGACTTAGATGACGGATTAGGGGGCGGAGGAAATGATAAAGCCTTAGAAGCCGAATTGAATCAACTCTTAGGTGGAGGAGGGGGCGGGGGAGGAAAAAAAAAACCTGCACCAAAGTCTTCTAAGCAATGTAAGTTATTGAGTTTTTATTACTTATCGGTTTTTATCGGTAAGTATGTTGATAGGTATTTGTCTGTTTGTCTGTCTGTTAAGTAAACCTAAAGCATTAAATGCTTGCACTAGTTGCACATAAGAAAAAGATTTTCATTCGTCCCAGGTGAGAAGGATCAATCGTCATTACTTATCGATTTTAATCGGTAAGTATGTTGATAGGTATTTGTCTGTTTGTCTGTCTGTTAGATGCACATGATATCTCACGAAAGCGAGATTGGATCTGCTGCAGATTTTGCATGTGCATTCATCATATCTCGGACCAGAAGCCTATTGATTTTGGGCGAATTATGTCGTATAATTAGCGAGTTATCAATTAATTAGTGATGGGACACAAGGTGTCACTATGGAGTAAGAGCGTTGTTTTGGGGATCCCCTAACTTTCGATCGATAAGTCTTCGGTCTCTGACCGATATTCTCATTAAGAAGTCTATCCATATGGAAAAATTTAAAAAAAATCTCATTTTCTGACATATATAGAATAGGGTGCTGAATTGATGAGTAACACTCTAATCTTAAAATTTTATTTTTCACACTAATACACTGAGTAATTTAGAAGTCTATGTCATCTTAATATAATTTTTTTTCTTAGATAATCCCATTTCCTGACAGTCATAGACTTGGGTGCCATTTTATCACCTTTCAAGTTAAACTCACATCTTTAAAATTCTATTTTATTGCACAGTGATGGATTGGGGTGATCTCGATGCTCAGATCTCAGCTTCAATGAAAGATATGGACGATGATGTTGATATTGGAGATGAAGAAGAAGGTGAATTCATGGTGAGATAAAATATATAAGGCCAAAAATTGCATTAATCAGGAATGTTTTCAATGGGGGGGGGGTCCGACCGGAATTTACACAGCGCAACCACGACGTAAGTCGCAACGTTACTAGGTGTCGCCCTGCTGAAACACGATAAATTGCTCGTGGTTAAAAGGGAAACGCCATCGATTTAATCCCAGTCTTTCGCTTACCTTGCCCTCGTTCATTACTGGCGCTTCGCTACGTCTTGCACCTCGTGGGTAGCAAAACGCCGTTCATTACATTCCAGCATTAATCAGGAATGTGGGGAGAGCTGGTATGAAATCACAATGACTTTGGCTTTGAGCCTTAATTTTGTTCACCATAGAGTTAAGCTCTTGCTCTAGGTCAGGTGTTCTCAACCTTTTTTTCTGTTAAATACTCCCCGAGTCCAAAATAATCAACGCGAACCCCCGTAATCAGGCATTGAACAAACTTTGTGATATATTGAATAACGATTTGTTGAAACAACAATTTATTGACCAGATGTAACTGAATTAAATCTTCGTGTTGATATTATTGCTCTTGTCCTCCGCCCAACTAATGAATTATTAAAATCTCTCTCAAGTTTTGATAAGCATAATCACTTTCTGATAAGATTTCACAGTTTGCCTGCAAAGCCGTGAATTTCACATTGTTGCATCACAATCACAACAACAAGGAAAAATCTACGTTCCAATTTGCATCTAGTTTCAATCGACACGCATTTCCCTCTGATAGTAATAAAGGATATTAAAAAACAGCAACACACAAAAACTCGACTACCGTCGAAGTACCCCTGGAAATCTTCTCGTGAAGCAGGTTGAACCCCTGCTCTAGCTAATAGTGTAAGCTAGACTCTGGCGTCATGTCCATGAAAACATTGCGTCCCCAGCTCTGGTACGCGGCACAGAGTCAATTGCTGAATATATTGAAGAAGGTATGAACACTGTGGCTGTGCCCTTGTTCACAGGTATAGGTGCCGCTGTTCAATAACCAGTATTGGTTTCTCGCGTCTCCTTCACCCTGAAATACGGCCTATTTATAATTTAATTTATTGCAGTTTGTATGTTTGTGCCTATTTTAGGTACGGTGAAAAATAAACTACTGAATACTGTATGAACTCGCCCTTGTTCACAGATCACTTTTTCTTCTGTTTTTGGACACGTAGTGGACATAACGATCGTTTCAAAATTTTGTTGTTATTGGTATTATTATTTGTCACCATCATTTTTTTTTAAAAAAATCGCTTTTCTTTTCGAATACTGGACCAATTGCTTTGAAATTTTCAGTGAGTAAAGATTGATTTTTTTGCCAGAAGGCTATTACTTTTATTTATTTATAAATTTCGCATGAAATCTGATATTTCGTCTAAAATTTCGCTGTATTATTTTATCCATGGGAACACTGGCTGTCCGGTTTGATTCTGTAAATTATTTCTACGCGAAACTCGGAATTTTTTGTTTGTACCGGTGCCGTCAAAGGTAAATACTGCTTCGTTCTGGTTAACATGTCCATATATTTGAGCACAGCTCTCTTGTTAATCATACATTTTATTTGCAGGCTGAGCTAGAGGGTCTCGTCAGCGATGAAGAGCCTGACGAATCACTTCAAGCTCCCACACCAAATAAGCGTCGATCTCCCAGTCCTCTACCGTCACCTGGTGGAGGAGGAAGTCAGCTACAAATCTTGCAAGAGCGGAAGAAAAATTATGAGACTGCGATTCAAAATGCAGAGGCTAAAGGTGAAAGTTCAAAGGTTAGTTTGTAATGCTATTTTTGTATTGAAATAAAATCATAGATCAATCTGAACCCTGTGCTGATCTTTTTGGCCAAATTGTTAGAAAATGTTTTTTCAATCCTATCTCAGGGTCCAAGGTTGCAGGGTTGAAGGGCGCAATCATTTTTTAGGAGAAAAAACTCAAAAATGATCGCATATCACGATTTTACTCACTTTATTGAAATATTAAAGAATGAGAGTTTACTGATATAGTCATCCTATTGTTATGTTGCAAGGGTGGCATATTTTATTTTAAGGAAGATATATAAATTGTTCTGCGGGCGCTCGTAATGTGTACGCGGGCCACATGAGGCTCGCGGGCTAGGGTTTAGAACACCCTGCCCTATCTTGTTTTTATGCTTCTTTATAGTATCTTAACCCTTTTGACTTGTTTTTCATCAAAATTATAAACCAAAATAAATTGAAAAATTAAAACCAAATTTGTACATCAGGTCCGACGTTACCAACGTGGCAACAAAACTTTGGACGATTTGCTGAAAAAAGCAAAAGCAGGAAAAACAATAAATGAAGATGATATTCCTCCTCCAGTAGCCAGTGGAAAACCAGATGCCTCTTCTGCTCCGCCAACAAAAGGTTTGGATTTTTAATGTCAAGTGTTAGGAATGACTTGAAAAATTTACTCTGACAGTGATGACTTGAATTGTTCCAAGTTTTTTTATGAGCACTTTCGCATCTTGACTTTTAACAAGTCCATGTCCGAGTTTTGCACGTGAGCACAAGAATGGAGTGGAAGGGTAGCAGTCCTCTAAAAATTAAAATAGGTATTTTCACTTCATTTAATACACCAGCTCTGCGGAAGCCAAAACAATATATGGAAATGATAAATTCCCTCTGCAATTTAAATTTTTTTTTTTTTTTTATATTATTTTGTTTAACACAAATTATCAAAAGCATCTATATTGTTTTTAGAATCTCCTGCACCATCTTCTCCTCCATCAATCAATGTATCTGAGCCAATGGAAACAGGTTCTCCAATGAAAGCCACGCCCCCTCTACCAAGACCCGCCTCCTCTCCTAAACCAGTTCAAGCAGCACAGCAGAAGACTGATAAAGAGCAGAAGGTGAGAGAAGCATGTCAGATCAAAGTTTCCAAGACTTGTTCGACGTTTGATTACGCCATCTTATCACTTTCACTACATTTAGTGATTGGCATAGAAATATATGTTGTTTTCTATATTTTTCATAAACAAAATTATCATTTTGGAACAGTGTCCCACAAAGGTAGCGCAGACAAATTTTTGAGAGGGGGTGAAGCTAAATATAAATGTTTGCTAGATTTGATCTTGTCCACTTTATTTTGGATATTTACGTTCAATCCACATATTTTCAACGTTTTTTTTTTAATAAAACATACTTTTGCAGTATGTCCATAGCAGTGCTGTAAATTAATACAAAATAATTAGTGATATAATGTCACAAGACTGAAAAGAAGTTTGTCTTCAAGAATATTTGAACTTTTTGACAATATCAAACACTCATTTCAAGTTAATACTGCAAATTTATTACTTATCGATTTTAATCGGTAAGTATGTTGATAGGTATTTGCCTGTTTGTCTGTCTGTTAGATGCAGGCGATATCTCACGAAAGCGAGATTGGATTTGCTGCAGATTTTGCATGTGCATTCATCATATCTCATACCAGAAGCCTATTGATTTTGGGCGAATTATGTCGTATAACTAGCGAGTTATCAATTAATTAGTGATGGGACACAAGGTGTCACTATGGAGTAAGAGCGCTGTTTTGGGGGATCCCCTAACTTTCGATCGATAAGTCTTTCGGTCTTCGCCGATATTCTCGTTTATTTTTTACTCCCATTTCAGAATGTTGACCCGAACACTGTCTCCATGCTTGTCCATCGACAACAACAATTCAAGCAAGCTGCATTGACTGCAAAACAATCCGGAAATAAAGCTGATGCATTGAAATATTTTAAAATTGTGAAGGTTTGTTGTCTGTTGTCTGAAATTTCTAATTCAGCTAGCACAGGGTGGTCCAAACCCCTGGAATGGTTCGTTACGCGTCACGATGATACTAAATAAGTAAAGAATGTCAATAAAACTACACTGACTACAAATGCAAAGTGAACACTAAAAATTCTCCCCGGTTTTGAAACAATGCATTATATATTTTGAGACTTTAACGTTACTGAATGAGAGGAAAGCCTAGTGACGCTAGCGCCACAATAGACATGACCCCAACTACAAGTCTCAATTTCAATTCTTTCCTAAATTATTCAATTTAAAATGTTGTTTTAGTTAACTTTTTTTTATCTAAATCACGAATTTATTTTTACTTCTTACAAGATTTGGGTCGTGACCGAAAACAGTAAATTGAAATCTGAATTGAGAATTCCATGAAAAAGCAAACCAAATAAGCAAAATCAGTTATGTGGCCCGCCGCTTCATTATCTGTGGCCCGCGTCACATTCGGAGAGTAATCAATAAATCGAATTTCGTGTCATTTCATAATAAAATTGCCCAGAAAAATCTTTTGACATATTGTTACATCACTAATGTCCCTGAATTGACTAATGTTAACCGAATGCGGTTATGGCTAGCCGAGGCAAATAGCGAAGTTGGATGATGTGCTTGGCAGTCTAAATTATTATCTGGCTTTCTATCTTTGTGGTCGGGAATATATGCTAACAATTTTGGCATCATAGAAAACTAAAAATCGAATGCGGATTCTATTAGCCTGGAATGGCTATGCCTGATAACGATGTGTTTGCACAAGTCTTTGATTTGTATTGCACTATTTACTTATTCTTGGCACTATTGTGGCCCGCGAACAATAAAAAAAAAATTTGTGGCCTGCGGAGCCGACAACCTTGGACCACCCTGAGCTAGCAGATCTAGCCAGAAGCCGGAAAACGTCTGTTTTCAAGAGTTATAAGGGTCGGAGAAGTGTTTCGAGCTACGAAAAACTTCTATGTATGATACAGGAAAATTTTTTTTTTTTACATCTTAATTCTCCAATTTTTCTTAACATGTGAGTTCATAGAAAACTTTTTTCTTTTTGCTACAGCAATTTGACAGCGTCATATCAGCAGCAAATGCTGGAGAACCAGTTGATCTCAGTCAGATGCCAAAGCTGCCTGAAGATGGTGCATCAGGTAAGAATTTTGTCGCTCCAGAAGTGTGTGTACCAATATGGAGGTAACTAATTTTGTTCACCTACTTTACATCAAGTTGTGTAAAGGAACTGAAACCTATGGCAGGGTGTATATTCACTTGGCTAACACTGACATTCCCTGGACTCTTAATAGAACTAAAATAAGAAAATCTGAATAAAACTATGGCCTAACCCCGAGCTCATACCAGAATCTTTTTACACCAAAAAAATTGGTTTAAAATCTTGTTTAAATGTTGAAGCTTTCAATCAGGGTGACCAAAATCTGTGGTTACTAAAAGTGATTGACCTTCCTTGGACCAAAATCAGGATATTAGTGGAAGGATATTAGCTGGCCAGTATAGGCGTGCACCCATTACTGGTTTGTATAATAATATGGTGGAACTGATAATGATGTAACAATTGGACACTGAATCTAGGACACAAAATAAAAGTGTTAAGCTAATCGATATGCTGGCCATAATTGAACAGCAGGCCACGGTTTGGGAACTATTAACCAAATTGAATCAAATCAATTTCGCAGACTTTATTTTAGGGGTACTTTGGTATAGTTTAAATACTCAACCAATCCTGATACTCTGGGTCAGCTGTTCCCAAGGGATGAGGCGAGTTACTAAGTCCACTCACGCAAAAATTAACAGAATTGTAATTGTAAACATAACTAAATTATGATTTAATATTTTACATTTGTATTTATTATGAATGGTTTATTGGTTTTATTTTAAATGCCAAGTATATGAATAGGCAAATCCTAATATTTGTTTATCCAGATTTGCTCATCTGTTGTATGAGTACTCAAAGTAGTAAATATTTCAAAGTTGATGTCTCAATTAAATAAGGAATCTATCCTACTAAATAAATAGCTACTGCTTATTTATAAAAACGCTCATAAATTTTACAATGTCCGAAATATAAAATGGCATAAATATTATTTTAACAGCCATTACAATATTTACTATACAGTTGGCAACTTAGAACGGTTTGTTTATCTGTTGTTTGGAGAAATCAGTAATCAAGAAAATGTTTTAAAGCTTATGTCTCAATTAAATTAGGAATCTTTTCCAAAGAATAGGTACGGCATATTTATAAAAACGATCGTAAATTTTAAAATGTCCAAAATGTAAAATGTCATAAATATTATTTTTATAGCCATTACGATATTTGGCCTTCCCGGAGTATGTGTTCCAGGTTAGGGTTAGGCCATGATTTTATTCCGATTTTCCTTATTTTAGTCTATTACATGTTCAGGGACTGTCTGTGTTAGCCAAGTAAATATACCCCATGCCCATAGGCTCCCGCCCCCTTACACAATTTGATGTAAAGTAGGCGAACAAATTTAGTTACCTCCATATTGGTACATACTCTTCTGGAGCGCCCAATATTTACTCTCTCGTTGGCAACTTGGAAGGGTTTGTTTACTTTTGTTAAATTTATAATAGTTATCATAGTTAAATTTATGATGTTGTGGAAAAATCACTTGATTTTATAATTATTTGAACAAATACTTTCAAATTTACAGCATTTACAGATGAAAGAAGGAAGGTTTACTTAAATTGATTTATATCTGGGGTGTGCAACCTTTAATACAGGTGGGCCGGATATAAATAACTGAGTGAAGCTGCCGGCCACTCGTTTTTCCAAAATAGGCTTTTTAGTAGTTGCAGGCATAAAAATTTTGGTTATTGATCTTAAAATATGCGTTAATGGGCATTGAACGCCGTATGCATAGATGAATTGGACTCAGGTCTTGTCCTTGCAACGCAAATGGATTGGAATTACTCACACATACTAGATTAAAGTAAATTAAAAACTTGCTGGATGCACATCATCCAAAATCTTCACTTCTCCGCGGGCTGCTTAATTTTTCTTTGTGGGCAGCATTGGGTCCGCGGACGCCTGATGTATATGAAAAGATATATATTCTCTTCTTCAGGTCGAACCCCTCCGGTGCCTCCCAGAGCTGCTGAAAATAAGCCTAAGCCTGCTGCTGTTGCTGCCCAGCCTGCTGTTCCTACTCAACAACCTACTGAAACTGCTCAGCCTCCTACTAAACAAGGTAAGGATATAAAATGGGAGACAGTGGGTTTGTAATTTTTTCTTATCACCTTTTAACTCTGAACAAGGCAGTGTGCAAGCATTCACTTATATCTATCAATTATGTAAGAAACTCTTTTTGTAAGGATCAAAGTCTTCCCAGTTTATAATTACCTGTTGATATTACTTTGTTAATTTCTGGCAACACTGTCTGTTCACTTCATTTTATAGTTTTGCGCTCCACTGATTTTGTATCAGCTTCCTCAGAAGATAGAGCAAGCAGATCCAAAATCAGTGAAGCGTGAAAGGATAGCAATAAAATGAAGAGAACATGCAGTGTTGCCAGAAATTAACAAAATAAAATAATACAATATTAATAGTTGAATGCCAAACTGGGAAGATTTCGATCCTTCCAAAATGAGTGAAGTGTGAAACAATACTAATAAAATGTGATGAACAGGCAGTGTTGCCAGAAATTAACAAAGCGAAATTATACAAGGTCAATGAAAATATGCTCTAAAAACTTTACTAAAACCTAAAAGAAAATTTCATTTTTCAGCTGTTCCAATACCAAAGACAATACTTGAAGGGCTGATCCAACGTCAACAGAAATATAAAAGCACAGCAGATCAAGCGAAAGCAGAGGGGAATGGCAGCAAATCTCGGAGAATGATGAGAATAGTGAAACAATATGATGACGCGATTCGGTCACATAAAGCTGGCAAACCTGTCGCTGTGAATGAGTTGCCTGTACCGATGGGATATCCTCCTTTACCAGGTAAGAAATTGGGAATTTACAATGCACCAGGCGTTTTCAGACTAAACTTTGGGGTCCATTAGGTGTTCTCCTAGAGGCCACAATCAAAAAACGGGGCTCCCAAAGTATGCGAACCAAGATGGTGGACATCGGAATGTAATATGTGTACTAGGTTAGGGTTAGGCCATAATTTTAGGTATAAATACTACGGGAGGCTCTTGGCTAGTCTTCGAACTGATAATAGGACTAAAATAAGGAAAATTGGAAAAAAATTATAGCCTAACCCTAACCTGTTACCCATGTTACGGTCTGATGTCCGCCATTTTGGTTCGCATACTTTGGGAACACCCAAAAAACTTTATGGAAGGGATTCATGCCTCCTTCCTAAAGGTCCTAAGACCGCCCGCTCTTCTATAATATTAATTGGTTTTAATTTTAATAGATTTCCATCAGTTATTTTGGGTGGTATACTAAAAAATTAAACCATTGAAAGTAATATAACTAAATGCATCGCTGTCAAATATTCAAACAAATAGTCAATTTACTTACAAATGTTATCTAGTGGCCTTCCTAGGCCTTTCTTGTGCCCCTCGACCAGGGGTCTGCAAACTACGGCCCGCGGACCAGTTCCCGCCGGCGGTACAATATAATCCGGCCCGCGATGCTTCACTGAGTTATATTAACAAAACAACTGGGTGCTCCCGAAGTATGCGAACCTAGATGGCGGACATCGGAACGTAACATGGGTAACAGGTTAGGGTTAGGCGATAATTTTTTTCAAATTTTCCTTATTTTAGTCCTATTATCAGTTCGAAGACTAGCCAAGAGCCTCCCGTAGTATTTATAGCTAAAATTATGGCCTAACCCTAACCTAGTACACATATTACATTCCGATGTCCGCCATCTTGGTTCGCATACTTCGGGAGCCCCAACAACTGTATTGACGATTATATTCTTTACGTAACAGAATTTGTTTTAAGACACTAAATTATATTATAATTTAACAAGTATATAATTCACAATCACTCGTTTAATGAGCCTATAATTGATTATAATTAGACAAATGGCAACAGAACAATGAAAAATTGATGTTGTGTGCAAATAGTTTAATGATACAGAAAATATTCAAATGATCAGTCTTTGCGCGCTGCTTGAAATTTAACTGAAATCTGTGCGGAAAAATGTGATTCATTGGCCATACTTTTGGTTTTTAACTTTCCAAAAATATGTGCGGCCTGCCAATGGCTTGCAACCTTCAATTTTGGTTCGCGAACGACAAAAGTTTGACGACCCCTGCCCTAGACGATCACAACAAGGTCTTCTAGGGGGGCGAGCGCTCAGCTCAGGAAATCCTGCTCTCCATATGGCTTTCATCTGCTTATTCTCCAGGTGAGAAGCAATCCGATCCAGCAGATGTCCTAGCACAAGCCGGTAATTTATTAAAGATAGAAGACGATGATGGAGCCCCACAACCACAAGTTGCTAATGCTGCACTGGCTGCAACTGCTGCCCCATCTCAAGTATGTTAATTTTACTTTGACAGCACTTATGGCCAAGTAATAAGATGTAAACTATCAATAACAATTTTTCTTTCACATCATATAACAACAGGTTCCCTAATTTCTGAAAATATATGTATTTCATGGCTCAAGAACGGGTGCGCTGAATATCATGAAGGGTTTAGTGCAAACCCCATAAACCCTACTATTGACAGTGGGTATGGAATATAGATATCTATATGATCCCAATAGCTAATTGAATTGTCTCTTCCATAGATTGCATATAGTTAATCAATAGGATAGGATAGGATTTACATATTTATCTCGGGGGAGAGAAAAGCCGATAAGATGGCTCTTCCATATGGCGAACCACAGCCTCTCGTCCGGTTACCATTCCAAGTCGGGTATGGGATTAGTAATATTGTTTGTTTTCGGAAGCATGGACTTGGTGGTGGAGGAAGCCGTAACCGACCAGCGGTTACGTGAACCACCCCCTGACGGCGAGGAGTCCAGCAATCCTCTCGCACATAACCATCCCCGCATGGGATTCGAACCTGCGAACCCACGAAGAGTAATTAGAGGTGCGGTGGCGAGCGTATTCCTAACGCTTAGCCCGTTGAGCCACACCGCCGCGCCATTAGAAATTGCTCATTGGTTCAGATCTTGACTGGCATTGCATCATCATATTTCATTGCCAGTCAAGATCTGAATCAACGAACGAAAATGACCATATAAGCTACAATCATTGAGCAAAACCAGAAAACCTAGTTAATGAACATCACAAAGTATGGGGATCTATGGTAATGTATTACGGCTACGATAAGGACCACTTTATATGGGGTTTTTTCTTTTGTGATGTAAACATTAAAATCCTTTTCTTAATCAGTCCTAGCATCATATAGAACTTATGCCTAAATTTCCATTATTTCATTCCAGCCTGCCAGACAGCTTCCAGCACCGAACACTCTTCAAAAACCAAAGTCACCAGGAAGGTCACCTTCACCTAAGCGAAGTTGTAAGTAGAGATTATTGTATCATCTCGGTCAAATATCCGGTAGGTGTTCGAGTGGTGCGTGGAATAAAAAACTGCTCAAATTCTGTGATTTGATTTTTTTGAAAAAAAAAATGTGTTCCCCCCCTCCCCCCCCCACAAAAAAATTCGACCTCCAAGAGCAGGTGATTATTGTCCTAAAAGTTAAAAAAGTAGTTCATGTTGACATGGTCGAAAAACTACACATGTTCAATGACTTATGCTCATTTTAAGTTTTTTTTCATTCTTCCCCCTTTACCCCCCCCCACCCAAAACATTTTTACATATCCCTTATCCAGAGATGGGTTCTTCTGTGAAACATGCAGCTGTTAATTAAATAAATTTCGGTGCTCCTGAAGTATGCGCACCAAGATGACGCATAACCTGAACCCTAACCTGGTACACAACCTGAGTTCAGGTTGTGCGACATCTTGGTGCGCATACCCAGGAGGTCCAAAAATTCTTTATTCCACCCCTGACACAAATTTTTTTTAACCTCCATTTCTATATTTAAGTGTTATTAAAAAACTTTATAATGTTTTTGGTCGATGTGGCCAAAAATTGTTAGAATTAAATAATCTTTTTAAAATAAAATTCCGTGTCTTTATTCCTCCCAACTTCCACAATTTTTTTTTCATTCTCCATCTGCACATAAGGTTTGCAATTGAACTCGAAAGGAATTCAGGTCAGCGAGGCCGCTTGTAAACTGCTAATATTGAGTCACTCCTAAAATATTTCATATTTCTAATCAATTATTCTGTATTTAAACACACTAAAACCTTTTAATTATTTCACCTTTAGCAGCCTATCAGTCACAGATAGAGTTTCTCGAGAACCGGCAAGCAGAGTTCAAGAAGGCCGCACTGGCAGCCAAGAACAAGGGAGATAAAGTTACAGCGATGGATATGCTGAAAAAAATGAAGGGATTCGAACCAATGATACAGCAAGCTAAAAATGGGTTAAAGGTGAGAATCTTTTTACTGCGAAAATTCAAAGCGTGTTGTCTCTGTAACTTCTTGTCGTCTATCTCAAGTCTTTTCCGATTCGTCATATGAGTAGCCAGGGGTGATTGTGTGAAAAAACAGGTGTAATATTTTCGAACATTTTCATCTATATCGGTTCATTTATTGGAAGTGAGCCAGATAAAGTCTGGTTTTCAGAAATTGAATGTATTAAAGAGCCACCCAACCCATAAGAAGGCAGATGTATTTCCCCTTCAAATGAGTTGGAAAAGCTTAGTTGCCTCAACAAGAACCAAAGTTGTTAAATTTCAAAATCTAATCACAGGTTGACATAACAAAAGTTCCCCAACCTCCGATAGTACGAACTCCAGGAGCCCAGAAGTCAGACGACACTGAGTTTGAGATTCTGGGAGGAAGTGGATCACATGAGGATGATGATCAGATATATAAAACATTACTGGATACTTTGAAAGAACAAATAAAGGTGAGGTTGTTGTTCCTTATTCTTGCTGGTTTTGGCTGATGAGTCATACTGAGCTGTGAGGCCATGGGCTGCATACTTCCAAATTTTTTAGTTGGCATGGTGGCCTGGCGGTCTGAACGTTAGGATAGGTTATGATTCAGATATTTGCACGGGGAGAGGAAAGCTGATACGATGGCCTAATGATGAACCACGGCTTCTTGTCCAGTTACCAATTCGTGTTGAGTATGGGATCAGGTATTTGTTTTAAATGCATGGGCTTGGAAGTGGTGGTAACTGTGACTGACCCGCGGTTACGTGAACCGCCCTGCAGTGGCAAGGAGTTCAGCAATCCTCTTGCACATACCTAGTTTGCATTTTATTATTTCATCAATAGGTTATGTCCCTAGATCTTGTGATCTTTCGATTAGTTGGATTCGAACAGAACTGTTAATAATATTCGTTGTAATTATTCCCACATCGGATTCGAACCCTTCGAACTCATGCAGGGCAATCAGAGATGCAGTGGCGAGCGAATTTTCAATGCTTTCTAGTGGCTCATGTATAATTATTCTTATGATAATCAAAAGTAACTTGGCGGTAAGAAACTGCTTTTCACTCGGGACTCAAAGTTTGTTGGTCGTTAAACATTGTTGTCATTAGTTTTTTCATGTCACCAGTCATCATAAAATGCCATTTTCATATTTTTTCTCCAACTTTCGTTCCAATCAAGTATATTTTCATTCTGGTGAAAAATAGATCACTGACTTAGCTAGCCATGTCTTCACACCCCTATTTTCTTTATTACAGAAAGCTCGAGGTTACAGCGAGCAATTCACACACAGTGGGGATGTAAATGGTGCGAATATGTTCGATAAATTATCGAGAGATTCTCAACAAGATTTAGATTTTGTGAAGAATCTACAAAGACATAGTGATCCTCCTCCTAGATATTATTTTGATAATAAGTGAGTTGGAATTTTCTATTTATTTGACTTTTGTTTAAGTCTTTATGAACAAGGCGCAATACGAGAAGCCACAGATATCTTGAGATGGCTACTTGGAAAGACCAGAATGTATTCGGTTCGGCTTTATTATCCCCTTGGTGAGGTGGGGGGTATGAGACATTTTTTTGGTACCAAGTAAGTCGGTTTGAATAACATATGGATGCGTCCTGTGTGAACCAAAATTGACTGTTCATGGCTTAATAATTCTGTTGGTTTCAGTAGGTCTCGGCATTTCAGTTATCTCAGAGATGAGTCTACTTTACTTATTAGTGGTTTTATTTGGCTTTGCCTCTAAAAAATGTAATCAAAGATCAGTACTTGACTTTACAGTGTTTCTCGGTCGGGCAGGAATTCCTCCCTAGGGGAATTTTGAACTTTTTTTAGGGGGGGGGGGGGATATTCTACACTGTGTAGTGTGAACATGAAGTATTCGAACCTCACAAAGCCAGAATGTGAGGTACAGGTATCACAAGCTAAAAAGTCATAACAGCTTGAACAACAAACTAAAACAAACTTTTTATGCATACTGAGGAAGGAATATACCAAATAGAAAGCATTGTACTTATGCTTGGGCTAACAGTCTCCTATATTTCAGAACATTTGAAAGTGTTCACATTATACCAGAATTAAACAGTTCAGAGATGGAATTGGTGATCGTTCAACTTATCGACGTGGACGGACATTCTAAGGAACCTCTTGTAGAATGGGAAATGCCTTTCCCACATGTAAGCTTTTAGACACGAGTTGTTGTTATTATTCAAAAAAATCTTTTTTTTCCAAAACTAGTTGCGCAATCGGATTTCAAACATTTGGTACTGGAAGCTTGCTTTCTTCACTTGAGGTAACTGATGGAATAAAAAAACGTTTTCCATAATTTTATTAACCCCGTTTGTGTTGTTGCTGCTTGATAACCAGTCTTGGTGTCTCGTGCTTCGCTTCACTCTGAAGTACTATTTTGCTCCTTTTTTGTATTGTTTATTCATATAGTGTACTTCATTATGGCGGCAAAATAAATTACTGATTACTGATAGAATGTACAATAGATGGTTCTCTGCAGTCATAATAATCCATTTTTAAACCTCCTTTCAAGTAGGCATAAGTATTCTCTGAGACGAGTCTCCTTTTCCTTTTTTTCTCATGCAGGACAATCCTATCAAAGGCAAAACGGAGCAACAATCGAATTTAAAATACGATGCACAATTCAGAGTTCCGATTAACAGGAAGAATAAAAGCTTTCAACGTGCGATCAAAAACAAAGCTGTCAAATTTGAAGTTATCCAAAAAGGGTACGTAATGAGTAGCAGGGAGGATGGTTGATGATGAATAATTCGATATTCTGATTTTTCTAACGCTTATTCGCTCTGAACAATGCCTTGTCCAGACTGCCATTAATTTGTATGGAGCTCCCTTTTAGGTGTCGCTGCCTGAAGACCTCTTGAGGTCCCTCGCGACTCCTGTCACACAATTTAAGTTAGTTTCCACTTGTATTTGTAATTATTTTTTTATATATCATACCATGTTTAAATTGTGTTGACGAATAAATGATGATTGCATTACAAGGGTCGCAGCATTGCCTACCCTATAACCAGTGTTGTGATTCAAATTTTTTGTCAGCCGGTTCCATCACAAAAGTCATATTTTTCAGTCGGTTCTGTTACAAACAGAACATTGACAGTGACCAGTAATGCTAACCGGTTCGCTGATCTCATTAAATTCCGTGAGACGGTTCTATAGAACCGGTGCAAACCGGCTGAATCCCACCACTGGCTATATACATATATTGGTACCATAATAATCAGACGAAACGTTACGGAAATACATTTGTGTTAGTGTGCAGACTAACTCAGACAATACTCTTGTAATAAATAGAATAGTTATCTTCAACCCTGCTGCAGCATTCTTACATTGTATGAATTCACCAGCGTATATAAACAAAGATAGTTAGTCCTGCATAACCCAACTGATAGTGTTCACTAATAGCATTTGTTGATTAATTTACAGGGGCTTTCTTCGGTCGGACAAATCTCTCGGGAGTGCGTCCGTTAAACTTGGACCGTTGGAAACATCATGCGAGATCAGAGCTGTTGAACCTGTGAGTACAATCTTTTCGTCTCTTTTGTTTGTTTTATATTGGCGTTCCAGAAGTGTGTGTACCAATATGGAGGTAACTAATTTTATTCGCCTTCTTTACATCAAGTTATGTAAAGGAACTGAAACCTATGGGCAGGGGTATATTCACTTGACTAACACAGTCAGTTCCAGAACTCGTAATAAAACTAAAATAAGGGAAATCGGAATGGAATCAGGGCCTAACCCTAACCTGGTACACACACTATTGGAGTACCGTATATTTTGCCATATTTCTTGTGATATATTTATATTGTGTTAACAAATAAACGAGAGTATCGGTCAGAAACGGAAGACTTATTGATCGAAAGTTAGGGGATCCCCCGAAACAGCGCTCTTACTCCATAGTGACACCTTTTGTCCCATCACCAATTAATTAATAACTCGCTAATTATATGACATAATTCATCCAAAATCAATAGGCTTCTGATCCAACATATGATGAATGCACATGCAAAATCTGGAGCAGATTCAATCTCGCTTTCGTGATATATCGCGTGCATCTAACAGTCAGACAGACAGACAAATACCTATCAACATACTTACCGATTAATATCGATAAGTAATGACGATTGATTGATTGATCCTTCTCACCTGGGACGAATGAAAATCTTTCTCTTATGTGCAACTAGTGCAAGCATTTAATGCTTTAGGTTTACTTAACACTTGACTTTCACAGCTCAAAGAAGGTAGAGCGGTAATTGGACGAATCGAAGTCAAGATACGGATGCGTACACCACTAGTGGGCTCAGAAACGAAGACAATTACTGAACGATGGCTCGTTGTGAGTCATGAACACGTTCAACGTAGAGCAGCAGCTCCGAGACCGTCTGGTTCGAAACCGAAAAGTGCTGCGTCGAGAACATCGCCAAAGTAAGTTGGTATCTTTTATTCGGATTTACATATTTATCCCGGGTGGATGAAAGACGATAAAACGACTTATTCATATGGTGAATCACAGCCTCTCGTTCGTTTACCAGCGGAGCCAATTTCAGATGCATGGAGTAGATTGTAGTGGAAGCTATAAGCGACCAGTGTTTACGTGAACCATTCCACGGAGGCGAGGTGTCCGGCAATCCTCTCGCACATAACTCCGCATGGGATTCGAACTTTCGATAATCAAAGCTACGGTGGCGAGCGTAATTCTAACGCTTAGCATGATGCGCCACTCCGTAGATAGGGTCACTATATTTGGAAAAGCAAAATTCCGGACAGTGCATGGCTATTTTCATGACCTCGTAGTAAAAAATATGGGCACGGTATGAAATAACAATGTTCTGTATTGGCAGTGTGCACAGTACGATTGCAGATGCAGTAAAATTCCGGATTCCGGACATTTAAGCAAAATTTAACCCTAAATTCCGGGGATGTCCAGAATTTTCCGGACGGTGTGGCAACTCTAACCGTAGAGCCATTAACAATCGTGTATTACGTCAATTATCAATTGTTAGTTATCATTAGTACCTCGTACACAAAAGTAAAGAAAGTGTAGATTGGTGGTCGAGAAACTGTTGGCCACTTCAAATGCCGCCTGTAAATAATCGGCACATAAATTTTCAAATTCTGACATCCTGTGACTTATATTTCTGTGTTAAATACAACGAGCGTTTGTCTTATTATTACGAAACAAACGCCGAGCAATAGTCATTATTATGACATATACGTATGCAGATAATAATAAGTTAACGAGTAACTTTTGTTTTATTTACCTAATTACTCCTAGAAAAATAGAGACTTATTATGACTTATGCACAGATGTTGAGGAATGAGAGAGTATGTGTATCTTTTTGACAAGGTTTGCGCTGTAAGAATAATCTAAAACAAATAGATGGTTAAGTATCCCCACCCGACCGGGAATGGTATTTGTATCAGGGTCAATGACTGAACATTCAGTACTCCCGTAGTATGTGTACCAGTTTAGGGTTAGGCCATAATTTTATTCTGATTTTCCTTATTGTAGTTCTATTACAAGTTTAGGACTATCTGTGTTAGTCAAGTGAATATACCCCCTGCCCATAGGCTTCAGTCTCTTTACACAACTTGTTGCGAACAAAATTAGTTACCTCCATATTGGTACACATTTTTGGAGCACTGAACAATTTTATTGTCTTTCCCTCCGTAATAGTATGTCAGTATCCAGGGCAGGTCACTCTTTTATCGCTACAAGCGAGTGAAGAGGTAAGGGAAGATTTTGAGTAAAGTAAGAAGGGCGTTCAACCGGACAAATGGCAGAAATTCGTCCGGTGTGCTCCCCGACCAATTTAGACCACTGAGTAGTTTGAATAGCAACAGTCTGTCACTATCTAGTAAGGATTTAAATTTGATCATTTCAGCTCAGTCTCTTCTACACAGGCAGACTAAAAAGTAAATTTTAAGAAATGAATTGATATTTTGGAACACTGTGCTTTTAATATGATCGCATCTTGCTATTCGCCACCATTACTCTCGAAATTTCATCTTAATTAACATCAGTAGTAAAGTAGTTGCCACTCACGATTTTTCTGTTTCGCACGTTTTTTCAAATTTCTCTGAACTATGAAATTACCACACATGCATGTACATGCCTTAGTAGTGAAACATTTAAATTTTGATCGAAAATTTTAATTATTAGAAGTTCAGTGAATCAAATTCAAAATTTTTTTTTTTATAATTCTGTTTATAATTAATTCAAATTTTTATCAAACTAATTTCCCATTTTTTGATAAATAAACAAAATTCAAATTTGACTGAATATTTTCATTTTTTTTTTCAGTCCAAGTTCCAAAGTCTGTGAATTATTATGAGTGGCAACAACATTTCATCCACTACTGACTATACCCTGATGAAAGTTGGCTTCAGACTAGAAAATCTAATTTTATCGCTTCTTTTTAATGTTTCTCAAACGTTTAAATAATATTTCGATATCTATCCCAATTATTATAACTATGTTAATATTTTTATCTTATCATTTACAAAGACTAGACTTAACTAGAATCATCCAAATCAGGCCTTCTCAAACTGGGCGACCCTGCAAGAGCGTCATGCAACAAATTTTATGTCTGTTTTAAAATATTTTTATATATATTATTGTAATTCATTTTAAATTGGTTTATATTTAACAAACCAATTTATTTGATGACTTTTTATCTTTTGTCAAAGTCTTCAAAGAAATTCATTTATTTTCCAACTATCTAACATACTCCATCCATAATTTGCAATATTACAGTTTTGAGATTATTAGTTAATCATTATTAACTGCAATCAATTATTTGGAATTATTGTACGGTAATTACATTTAATATTTCTGATTTAGAAATATAATTACAATACCATTATTTATATTTTAATTTGCTTTTTCCTCCCAGTTTCCTGCAGTTTTACAAATATTAATTTATGCCTGTTCCCAGTGCATACTCCATGATCTGGAATACAACTAACTTGATATCACCGAATAGAAATTATGCCTTAAATACAGAAGAAATATGACATTCAAACGATAGCAATTTATTAGACATGATTATTAATATACTCCATACCTGCTTGAGATTATTAGCTGTTAAATTTAGCTAGACATTGTTATTTTATGCTATGCATGTACTGGTATTTTATTCTATCTTCTCATACAAAAGACAACATGCAGGGTGTTTTTGGAGTTCTTTTTAATTGCGAAGAGAATTTACCGAATCCATTTATAGTTTGTTGTTGTCTAGCTAGTGAAGTAAACGTTGTAACTGCTTAAATAACGCCTAACAAAATTGTGATGTGAAATGAACGCAGTAACTGCTCAAATAACACCCAACAAAAATATATCTAACAGTTGGGGTTAGGTGAAACTAACTACCTATCCTTGCTCTATGCCTTTGTGCAGGTGGATCCGAATGCGTATAACGCAAGGATGCTATAGCGAGAGTGAAAATGACTATTCTATTTACCGTTACAGAAATACATTGTAAGTGTGCATCAAGACTCTTGAATTAAATGGAACAACAAAAATGTGTCGTAAAATTTTAATGTTAAAAAGTTCGAACTTACACCCGTATTGTCTTAAAACATCGCTGACGAAAATGCGAAAAGGTTGACGACTTATCTGTCCTCTCGTGAGTCGGGTTGTCTGCCTCCCGTTTGTCCCCTGCGTTAAGCGTATTGTGTTCGCGCAAAACTGACTTTTATTTTTAGATAAAAATGAAAATTTGGGTTGTATTTTCACATTACATTTTTGTTTGGGGTTATTTAGGCACTTAGAACATTAATTTTCACATCATTTTTGGTTTGGGAGTATTTAAGTAGTTACGGGGTTTGCTTCACGAGACCCGTTTGTTGACCCATACAGATGTATCGAATGACAAAATGATTACTATAAAACAAGCCAGGTTAAGATATATTGATGGATACTGACTTGAAAACAAAACCGAAATTGTGAAGGGACTTTATGAGCGCCCTGTACGCTGATCCTATCTGTGTAGGTTGCTGCTAATGTACTGCGGTGGATATTGTGCCTCTGTGTCCATATATTTAGGCATTGTTCTCTTGATACTATTATATGCATGTATTGTTAATATTTGGGGGCTCCCGAAGTATGCGAACCAAGATGGCGGACATCGGAATGTAATATGTGTACTAGGTTATGGTTAGGCCATAATTTTAGGTATAAATACTACGGGAGGCTCTTGGCTAGTCTTCGAACTGATAATAGGACTAAAATAAGGAAAATTGGAAAAAAATTATCGCCTAACCCTAACCTGTTACCCATGTTACGTTCCGATGTCCGCCATCTTGGTTCGCATACTTCGGGAGCATCAAAATTAGATATGTTCCTGTATATAATATGCACTATATTTTATTTGTTTCTGAGATTTAGACTATAATTAGCTTTAATATATAAATTTTATAATAAAAGTTTATTTTTGGGATTAAAGAAGCTTTTTGTTGTATTTTTGATAAACTTGTCTCATAAAAAAGACACAGGAAAGAAAAGTAGTTAGTTATAAATTGAGCTTCTTGCTGGCCTGAAGTCATTTGAGTTTGTCAAGAGTTTTGCAGTTAGATTTCTGATGGAAGTTAAGAGTTGTAGTTTTCAACAGATATTGAAGTCACTTGAAAACTTTTATTGCTGGCAGCAGTTTGAATTGAACATTATCCAAGTCAGTAAGCGGATTTTGAATTCATGTTGCTCTTGGGGTAAAATGTATCTAATTTGTCATGTAAAATAAAATTGTGATTTCGATACAAAAATAGCGAAGTCTACAAAATTGAACATAGAAGGCAGCGTTTTGCTGAATTGTTCTTGTTAGTCTCGTTGTTACTGGTGTGATCCTTTTTCATTGGTTTTCTCAACCTAATCAGTATTATAGGCTCTAAGATGGAAGAATTCTCCAGAAGAATAAAACTTTAAATTTTTCAAATTTCATTTTTATCCCAAATTGCATGTTATTCGACAGTTTTTAGTTGTGTTTCCTAATTTTTAGAGAGGAGGTAGGATATTCATAGAATACGACATCAAAGTCTTCAGCTTAGGACTGAAAATATATAGACTTCAATCCAACAACTATCTTCAAAAAACACTTGCCTCTTGACAGAATTCCATATTGAATAATTTACCCCGATTTTATCACGCTTGTCCGCCAATCTTTACAGCAGTCGCTGTTGTATTTTAAACATTGAGATTGGCAGTCTCTTTGAAAATAATGGCATGTGAAATATACCAATTAAAGTAACACTATAAATACCATTGGAATGATAAATGGTGCCATGAGTGCTACAAGCCTTCAAAATGAGGGCCGGTAGATATAAAAGGTTGGAGAAAATTCAACACAAAAGGGAGCACGTTTGCTAATTGTCGTTGCGGGTTGGTCTGTTTTGTTGATTTTCTCTTATGGATCGTTCAATATCATATTCTGAGTATTTGAAGACGGAAAAAGGCTGTTACTTTTTTTTTCAAATTTCATTCGAATTCCAAATTTTATCGCACTTGTCTGCTAATTATTACAGCAGTCATCGTCTCGAAGTCCTATGTCCACTGATTATTACAGCAATCTCCATTTAATATTATACAATATTCATAATATTCTCACAGGAAAGAATCTAAGATTGGCAGCCTTGAAGTCTTAGCATTAGAAAAACGGATGGTGGAAGCAAAAATCAAAGACCTACAAGGGAAAGGCGAACGACCTCCGACCTCTGTGCTTCAAAATCAACAAACAGTTTTAACGAAATTGAACGGGACGCAAAAGTTTTTACGAGAAGGTGGAATGAATGCTAAGCGCGGTGAGTGGGTTATCATGATTCTTTTCCAAATTGGAATCTTGAGTTTTTGAATATAGCATGCTGTCAAGAGCAATAAAGGTACAAAGGCATATCCAGTCCAAAATTTGGGAGGGACCAAAACTGTAGCAGTAGTATGTGTACCAATATGGAGGTAACTAATTTTGTTCGCCTACTTCACATCAAGTTGTGTAAAGGAACCGAAACCTATGGGCGGGGGGGTATATTCACTTGGCTAACACAGACAGTCCCTGAACTCGTAATAGAACTAGAATAAGGAAAATCAAAATAAAATTTTGGCCCAACCCTAACCTGGTGCACATACTACAGGTGTACCGAATTTTGTCAAGAGCTATAAGGGTAGCCAGTCCAAAATTTGGGGAGTCAACAAAACTGAATGCGGAGAAAAATTTTGGGGGAAAGGGGGAATGCTAAATGAGATGAATGGTTTTTGTTAATCTTCATTGAATTTAAGTTTCAATATAAAATTCAGTCCTTAAATGTAGAATTAGTCGCCGTTCTCGTGAATGTTTCCTCCGATCTTGACCAGAGAAAAAATTTTCTTTTACTTTACCATTGCAAAATTGTCAGACCCTTTCCAATTATTCCCCCACTAATATTACCCCGCTATGTTATAAAATACCAAGTTAGTCATCCAGTTGGGATTGGAGTTTGGAATAATTTGAAGTTTCTCCCCAAACTGTCTTCCCAACCTAAACCCTGACAGAATAATGTGAGTATTCATATATTAGTGGATTCTAGAATTTCTATGCTTGTTTTGATTTTGATTTAAAATATGTATTGTTTATTGTACTCTGAACAAGCATTTGGAGATTCACCTACCAGTATCTAAAAATTAATTTATATTCCAGCTTATGTTCAGTTTTTGAAATCTGAAACTGAAAATTTGAAGAAAGAAGCTCAAACATATGTGAGGCAAGGGAAACATGTAAGTTATAAATTTGATGTGAATTTTTTTTTTGAGACTTTTTACAAGGCTCACAGGAGGTGTTCACGGATAGGTAGGGTGCTACTATTCTCGGAAAGATTGTAAAAATTTCTAAAATAATTTCTGGAATTGTATCGTCTTAGCACAGTAAATGACATAGAAAGGTAAAAAGGATTTATCATACTCATACACGGGAAAAATGAGAAACAATAGAAAAGATAGACGAAGTATGTAAAGTATAAAGTAGATAGATAATGTAAAATAGTAGATCATATTTGAATTATGTTCAACACAATTCTGTTGATTTTAGCGCCGCAATTATCAATTTGCACCTTTTCAGAGCCGCTGTCTTATCGGCTTTCGTTTCATCTGGAATAAATAAGAAAAGCCGTGACCGTACATTTGAACACATACCTTTGCACCCGTATATCCGCGGGTTCAATCTATACGCGGGTGCTAAAACCCATGGGTTAGGATTAGTATGGGTTCAAACATCCGTAAAAAAAAATTCCCATAGGTGCAATAGTATGCAGGTGCAATAGACCTTATTCATTTAAAACCCATCCTACACGCAAAAATAAAAGTGATGTAAAAAATTTTTTTTAACATCAGCTCTTATGGGAAATGTGATCACCAGAGCAGATATTTGCATATTTTGGGATTTTCTAGATATCTTTCATTGTATACGTGAGCAGTTTTGAGGATAGAATATTTTTTACATTATTTTTGATATTTTTATCATGATAAACATAGTCAAGATATTTGATAATCGTTCATTAAAATTTTAAAGATTGCGGTGTTTCCGATGACGTCATTCTCACCAGACCATGAAATTCTGCCAACGCGCCGGGCTCTGTGGAAACTGCTTCAAATGTAATGAAACTAAGAAAAGCATATTTAAATAATAGTTACTTTCTTTGCAGGATCAAGCTAAGTTCAGCTTAACCAAAAGGAAAATGATTGAAAACGAACTTCAGAAGATGGCTCCATCAAACACCTACATATGAGGCTGCTATTAAGCGCTCACTTATAGAAACAGGAAATTGGTTTTTGTTTCAACTATTTCACCGGTCACTTTTAATTATGGCTAACCGCCATAGAAGAGGCTCCAGTTAACGTTTTAACTTGAGTCACTATTTATTAATAATGGCTCCGTCAAAACTTACATATAAGGCTGTTATAAAGCGCTTCACTTATAAGAACGTTTGGACCTCCAGAAGTATGCGCACCAAGATGGCACACAACCTGAACATAGTATGTGTGTACTGGTTAGGATTCAGGTTGTGTGACATCTTGATGTGCATACTTCTGGAGCACCGAATTTTTTATGTATAAACACCTTGTTGGGAGAGAGAGGAGTGGATGTGTTGTGGTATCATTTACAACAGGAAATCACTTTTCAATTCAATTCATCCAGCGGTTCTCAATCAACTTTTCTTTTGTGGCCCAAATTTCGTTGCAAAAAAATTCAGTGGCCAACTAACATTTTTATGGGGGGGGGGAACTTCAAGACAAACATAGAATTCTTGAACCTCCTGAAATATGCGCAACAAGATGGCGCACAACCTGAACTCAGATTGGGTACCAGGTTAATGTTCAGGTTGTGCGACATCTTGGTGCGCATACTTCAGGAATACCCAATTCTTTGTGCGAAAATAGACACTTTTACGTTAATAATAATCAGGGAAAAATTATCACTCTGTAACAATTTAAAGCATCATCCATTGCTACTAGCATCAAATTTAACTAACTTTATCGACAACTCTAGCAATTTTTAATAGGTCAATGGCTCACCTGAACATGTTCCTGTGGCCCAGTAATGGGCCATGGCCCTCTGGTTAAGAACCAGTGTGTTAGGCAATCAATCACTTTCAATTATGAATACCACTATCGAGTAACTCAAGTTAACCAAGATGGCGCACAACCTGAACATAGGATGTGTACCAGGTTACGGTTATTAGGTTGTGCACCATCATGGTGTACATACTTCTGGAGTGCCAGATCGTTTTGTTTTTAGGAATGGTCATGTTGTGTTACCATAACTAACTAACTCGAGTCACAATTTATTAATGACTCAAAGTGTATCTATTCATCTAATGCACAGATGTGCAACATTTTTTGTAGGTGGGCCATAAAACCAACTTCAGAAATCTCTACCTGGACTATATAAGGCTGCTATAAAGCACCTCACTTCAGAAATATTTCATGTATGGACACATTGTCCACAGAGATGGGAATATTGGAAAATGGATACTTCCTTGAGTTGCTGTCATTGTGTGATGGTCTTGGTGTTGTTATAGCAGAAAGTCACTTTTCTCTTGACTGCTTTGGAAATTTATTGCTAGTTAAGCATATAAATGTCTATTTAAAGGCAATTGTTCATTCGATATCAAATTTTTCATGCTCCAATATAGAAGAACTCTCCATAAGGATATTTATTACTTTTAATTTTTCAAATTTCATTCGTAACCCAATATTTTGTCTTAATGTTGTTAAAACAGTAATTAGCTTTTCTCTCAACTGCTTGGAAATTTATTGCTAGTTAAGGAAAAAAATGTCTAGTAAAAGGCTGTAACCCATATATCCATTCTTTGTTATCCATATACTCACATTTCTCTCTCTGAACCCCTACAGCACATTTTGCTTGTCATATATAAAAAATTGGGTACTTCCGTAGTGTGTGCACCAGGTTAGAGTTAGGCCATAATTTTATTTAGATTTCTCTTATTGTAGTTCTATTACGAGTTCGTGAACTGCCTGCGTTACCCAAGTGAATATACCCCCTGCCCATAGGTTTCAGTCCCTTTACACAACTTGATGTAAAATAGACGAACAAATTAAGTTACTTCCATATTGGTACACATACTTCTGGAGCGCCTAAAATTTATATAAATGATCAGTAAAAGGCAATTACTTGTATATTTCTTTCTTTCCCTCTTTGTTTAAAAAGTTTTCTTGTCAACTTTCCACTACCTGGGATAAATATGAATATCCTTCATTCATTATGTATGTTCAATCCCATTTTTTGTGAATGATATCACTCTTACAAGAAAAAAATTTCATTTCAAGCTTTGCACAAAATATGCGCAACAATCCGCGCGGCTTTCCATATTAGTTAGCCATTTTTTCATTTACCCTTTGACTTCACGTTCAAGAGTTAATGATTTCATTTTGAGCTTTGTACATAATATGCCATAAGAATCGTCCAAATATAATTCAACATTGAGCTCTATTGTCATGAGTGGGATGTCTGCACCCCATCAAAGTCGTTGTATATTTGGCAAATAATCCCATATCCAACATGACGAAAGGCCATGGCTCGGCATATGGTTAATCCAGCTTTCCTCTCCCCAAGATAAACATGTCAAATCTGTAAATTTAAGTTTTAATATTCTCTTTGTCGTCCATAATTTAGCTTCATTTCATCAGATATGAAGTATGCAGGCCAATGCCTTGTATCTGGAACGAACAACTGGCTAACTAATCCGATACCCGACATGTACTGGTAACAGGACAAGAGGCGATGATTTGCCATGTGATTAAGCTGTATTGTCGCATTTTTTTCTCCTCTGGGTAAATACCTACCGGTATACCAATACCCTGACGTGTACACCGACGATAGGTCGTGGTATGCAATGTGCCGCTTATCGACTTTTCTCCTCCCCGGGATAAATATACAAATCCCATTTTATTTTGCAGTAATGAATGTATAATAAATAATCGTAATCTATACTAGAGCACATGTGTAATTTTTCTTTCATCGTTTAAATAATAAATGCCTATGCAAAATTTGCGTTTTTGTCATTGGAACTCGGGGAATCTCGAATAACGGGATAGTCGGCAAACCCGTTTTTGTTTTTCTATTTTTGACGTTAGACGACGGTAGCACAATGGTTGATATTGCATGTATAAACCTACGGTATATTACGTATTGTAGGTATTTATATCCCGTGTACTCATTTAAACGGGCCTAGGACAGGTACGCATGCGGAAGTATTTTAATGACCTATGATGTCATACAGCCACACAGATTAGGGTCAGCGACGAAATAAAGTATTCACACTAACTTATTGCAAATTATACTCGGCCATATATAACTCGTCAATGAACAAGCTTATTTGCAATAAATCACCTAAGAGAGTTACACTAAAATGACATTGAAATTACTAACTTTTCAACAGTATGGACCTAAAAATAACTCCGGGAAATTGCTCAATTTCAGTCAGGTCGCGATGCTAACAAGTTAGTTATGTTTTAGATTTGTTCTACAGGTTTGCTGAAATAAAGCCCTCAACTAAGATTAGGGCGTAAGTTAACTAAACGCCGTGCTCTTTTTAAATAATATTGTAGATACCGGGCAATCCAAATTGAACGTGCGGTTATGCGAAGAACCAGTCAGTAACAAGGAAGCTGATTAGAATTTGGAAACGCTAAACACGTTACCACAATTCGTCTTACCTGTTATTCAACAATTTATGAAACGAGAATATCGGTCAGAGACCGAAAACTTATCGATCGAAAGTTAGGGGATCCCCGAAACAGCGCTCTTACTCCATAGTGAAACCTTGTGTGCCATCACTAATTAATTTATAACTCGCTAATTATACGACATAATTCATCCAAAATCATATGATGAATGCACATGCAAAATCTGAAGCATTAGCTTTGTACGAAAGATTCATATAATCAAATATCTATCAAGTTTGCCAATATGATTTTAAACCCACGACACTTAAAGGAACATTTTGTTTTGTTAGTATCATAATTTTGTATACTTCATGGAATTCTTTGTGCAGTGATTCATAGGAGTTTTTAGATCCCCGGCTATTCGCTGGGCTTATTGCTCATATACACGGTAATTTCTAGTAAAAATTTCTAATAATTGGTATTAGTTGGCTAATACGCAAAATTCATAATATGAAATATTTGGAATGTTTAGTTTTCATGACTGGTGCATATAGTAAAGTTGCAAAATTGCGTATGTCCCCAAGTCATAGACACATTTGTGCCTAAGTCACAGTGCGTCATTATGACGTCACTTAACTGCGTCATACAAATTAACTTAAATCCGGCTACGATCAAAAAATTGAACCATGGCAAATTATTGACTCTCAATGGCATAACAATATCATTAGGAAGTTTTTTACGTTTTTCTCAAAACTGCGAAAAATGACTTACGCAATTCGGTTATTAGCGTGACGATATGGTATTCACCATTAATATCAGGTATTTTGAAACTTTCCTCCACAATCTGTCCAATTAGATGTTAGAACTTTGGGTGGCGCTACCGAAGTATGTAAATCAAGATGGCGGACACCGGAATGTAGTCTGTGTACCAGGTTAGGGTTAAGCCATATTTTTATTTCAATTTTCCATAATAAAGTTATATTACGAGTTCAGGAACTAGCCAATTAACTCCCGCAGTATTATTACCTGAAATTATGGCCTAACGCCCTAACCTAACCTCGTGTACATACCACGTACCGGTGTCGCCATCTTGATTCACATACTTCGGAAGTACCGAACCTTTGGTGTCGCTGTTCGATAACCAGTTTCAGTTGCATCCGGCTTTCATTCCCCAGTGACGCAAATATCATTTTTCCTTATTTTTAGTATGATTTTTGTCTTTTACTGGTTGGAAAAAACTGGACTTGACCTCTGCTCCACCAAAACGGTTAAAAAGCACTGATATCGACTTCTCTTTACGAAGGCAAATTTCGCGCTTGGAATTAAAGCAAGCTGCCATGGAAAGATTGAAGCTGTTGTTCTTGTGCATTGGATTTTCCACGGCAGGTGATTGATTTAAATATTGGTAATATTCTCGTCGGGGTGTTCAATGAATCGATGTTCAATGCGCTCCCGGGGACCTCCAGAAGTATGCGCACCAAGATGGCGCAACACCTGAACATAGTATGTTTGGACCGGTAAGGATTCAGTTTGTGCGACATCTTGATGCGATACGTGGTATTCTAACTGAACGCAACCGACGCGAGTGATATTTCATGAAGATCGAGTACATAAAGTACTATTCACGCACTCCGGAGTCGGAGTCTTATTTACAAATTTTCCGGAGTTCGACTCTGATTTTTAAATGAAACAAAGCAAGAGTTTTTCTTTCAAATTTTTCGAATCTGATTCTCGGGAGTCGGAGTCTTGTTTTCAAATTTCCGGAGTCGGAAGTGTACAAAATTCAAGTCAATATTTCTTTTCACATTCCCAGTCGATATCTCTGTGAAAGTTCAATTCAGAGGCAGAGCTGTGATGACGTCATACCGCCAGGAGGAAACAATTACGGTGAGTTATAGTGGGCATAGTGGGCATTTTCTCGAATAATTTTTAACGTTTTTTAAATGCAATTGTGCGGAATTTGCAGTATGGCATGAATTCATTCAATTCAACCCCATTTTGCTCTATTCTTGAACGATTTACTGAAAACCAGACGTTTTCTGGCTTGAAATTAATAATCCTTTCACCGCGTGAACCTACCGAAATAGATGAAAATGCGTTATATGCACTGGTGGTATTCAGCCGGTTCGCACCGGTTCTTTAGAACCGTCTCACGGAATTTTATGAGATCAGCGAACCGGTTAGCATTACTGGTTACTGGCTTTGACTTTTTGACAACAGAACCGGATGAAAAATATGACTTTTGTGACGGAACTGGCTAGCAAAAAATTTGAATCTCACCACTGATTATATGCCTTGGATCGAACTTCGACAAACGGCTTTGTTTGAAGCAAAAGGCACGAGTGAGCGTCGTATTACGTCATTATACAAAAAAATATTGTTTCAAAAGTTATGTAAAGCGCATCATGTTCGTTTAGCTCACGTAGTAAGCCTACGTAGTGGTAAAAATTACGAAACTGTTCATTGTGATGTCACACACGTGTCTGTTTCGTCCAAATGCCTTGATTTCTTTGGAATCATTTGGTACGGACAATTTTTAGCCGATTCTACAATGCCAGGCCGATGTCGCAATTCAAGAAGCTATTTAGGTTAAATGTGTACTTTGTTTGCATTCTGATAATATATATTATTGTAATATTTCACATAGTTTTTAAATCATTCAGGACTCTGCTCAGCCTTAAAATATTCCTGCGCAGTAAAACAAACAATTGCGCAGTGTAAAATTTTCTTAGAGGGAACACTGCACTCAATATCATGTTCATTAATTCTTTTGTAATTCACTCAACTTTATTGTTTTATTTTTCAGGCAAAAAATGAGCAAGGTAAGTTACTACTTTGTTATTCTGGTTCTAGGAAATTTCGCCGTGGAAAATCTCGCCGCATAGGGAAAATCGCCGCAAGAACATTTTGCTGTAAAACAAGTATTTGTGATGCAAACAATTAGGTTTTTGAGGTAAATTCTCATTAAAAAATTTTTTTTTAAGAGCATACCCTAGGGCTGGGCATTTTCGAATACCTGATGATTTCAGATTCGAATCGAATATTTTTTTTCGAATCGAATTGAATCTCGAATACTTGGGAGATATGTAATTGTATGTAACTTTCCTATTGTATTAGGTCCTCCAGACACATAAATTACCGAAAACTAGAGTACATCAATCAGGCAGATTCCTGAGCGTTCACATACAATAAAAAACACGTTATCATTAATACGTGCTATGTCAGAATTGCGTTGAAAAAGTAAGGCTTCAATAAAAAAAAATTGAGAAATTTTCCTCGACCATTAACGGAAAAAAAACAAGATGGCGGCGATTCGAAATTTTGCTCTGAACCGATTCGAATAATTTCATATTCAAT